CAGAATAAAACCCTCATGCCACCAAACAGTGACTGTGTTCTGGGGGCAAAGCGCAGAATCAAGCTGTGGGAGGACTCCAGGGACGAGGTCTGGTAGTGATGGCTTAGCTTTCTCACATCTTTGAGAACTCTCTTGTTGTTGAGTATTCTTTCAACTTTGGCGAGTGTTATTGACCCTAGAGTAAAATTACAAAAACATCACCAGCCCATTAGAACATTACAACAATGTTATATTTACATTCAATATTGTTGATCTTATGAAGGAAGTGTTTTTACATTTTCACTTGCTATTTCCAATTGTTTTATGAATATTGAACTTTTTAGCCATTTATTTGCATGGCTTGAGGCTCTTTCCGGATGTGAACACTTGGGGAATAGGGGGTCGTCATGCACGTGAATGTTTTGTAGGTGGTTGACGACTGACGTCCACCTTGCCACCTTCTCCGGCCCCGAGGTTGTGCTCGTCGCACTCCAGTATACGTGGTTTTTGATGCTGCACAGCCACTTCTTCAACACCTTGCAGTCCTTGTTCTGTGAAACTTTCAAAAGTTTCTTGGACAAACCTGATAAAAAAAAAAGCACAAGTTAATATTCAAGCCGTAGTGTGGAAATGACATGCTGTGATGGACAACATTCACGGTTCAAGGGCGTGGTGGAAATTCCATACTGAATATCATCAACCATAACATGCATATGATAATTGCATGACAGTGGTCAGTGCCACACCCTGAAAACATATTCATAAGATTAGTGAGTGACATTTAATTTACAACGACAAAAGGTGCTGTGATCAAGTGGTCTGGCAGACAGTTTACAATAACAGAGTAAAGAGCAGATCAGAGGGCCAAATTGTAGGGGATATAATTTATGTATCCAGACATTATGTCACGTCCGCTGCAGATTAGAAGCTCAGGATCAATTGTAATATTAAAACAAAGGAATATCTTAACAAAGGACAGAGTCTCTGAGATAAATACCTTTTTCAAAGTGCCACACATCATAGAACTGTTCTAAGTTGCGTTCCCTCAGAAACTTCTGGATCTGTGGATGACGGTCAGTCACGATGTACTCAACCGCCAAATCGTTTGACTCCAGATGATCCAGGCATCTTTTGAGTCCCTCCTTTTCCATGTGGTAACTACCACCTAGTCTCGAGTAGACGACAGAGTACAGCTACTTGCAATGGGCCTGGTCTACAAGATCCACTACACCTCTATGGTACCCATGTACATGTCAAAATTCTTCCAAGGAATACCATGATCATAACACCAGAGGGAGCTCCACAAATCATGTAAAACCCAGATTTGGCACAAAAAA